TTTGCATCCCGAATTTGGAAGCGAGCCCTGTCAGTACCCTTATAGACGTATTTGAATAGGTATTTGACCGAGTCGAAGGAGAAGCAGCATTCGAGGTTGATGTGGGCACCAAACCGAAGCAGGAGGTATGGGTTGTAAGGCACGACGTGACGGTTGTCAAGTACGACATCCACCCGGTTCACCGTATACCGAACAGTCCTTCCCTGGTCTCGGCGCCTGTATTTTGGATATCCGTCCGAAATCAAAGTGGTATCTCTGAATTCTTTTGGAAATCCTTTAGTACAGGTATTGTCTTGCATGCAGGGCGACGAAGGATTGTGGGCACCGCAAGGCCGATGGATCATATTTGTCGAAACCAATTGAAACAATTCAGGATTTGTGTCGGAATCAGGGAGCTCAGCTGAGATGATACTATCAACCTCGTCAGATGTTCTGAGCTTTGAATCCTCCTTCAAAAAAAGGACCATATGACGGTGCGGAAGCCCTCGTTTCTGGAATTCAATCACCGAAACGTAGGCAGCCATTTCTCCGAGGATGTGCTTTTTGAAAAGTTCCTCATCGAGTGCTCTCATTTTCAATTCGAACACTCTTGCAACCAAATCTGGACGATCAATTGCAGTCTGGCCTGGGTAAAGACCTTCCTGAATTTCTCGCCAGTTCGGATTGCAAGTGATGGTCAAAAAGAGATCTGGCTTTCCGTACTTGGTCATAATGGCCACTGAATCCTGATAATGTCCGACCGAGTTTCGACCACTGCCTTGATGACCGGCGCCCAAAATAATCTTTCTGCCTGCAGGACCTTGACCATGGGAATTCATGTGATCGGTGAGGCCACGGACCGTATCCAGCCGAAGTTCACGCTGATGAGTCAGATAATAATTAAGCCTATTCTGTTCAGTCTTGGCGAAGGCATCCACGTAATATTGTTGGCAAAGTTTGCCGCCGTGGTGGATAGGATTGAAGCCTTGCCGGACGAACATGTTATAGGCGAAATATTCTCTTTGAGATACCCGGTTCGGCGGACCGTCATCGGCAATAGCCGGTTCGTCATCGTCAGAGTTACCACGACGGCCAGCATTTCCCACTTGCTTCGGAATGTTAGGGTGCCACCCCTCTCCACCCCGAGGGAAGAAGAGAGGATAACAGAGTGGTTCGCACTCTTTCTGCAAGTAGTGGATCTGCCTGAGGCCGCCGTCCCGCTCGTGAATATAGAACACGCGCTCGCCGGGTATCGACTCATCGTCACCAACGTAAACAACGGCAATCTCATTGGATGTAGGTGCATTGAACCGTCTTTGGTCGTCCCTTTTATCTGTTCGAAAGACCAACTGCGCTGAGAGAGCTTCCCGCCCATCGGCAGCTGCTTGATCAGATTCCTCTTTTGACACCTCTGCCATCATCATCAATGATTGAACATAGATATTGACGTTTTGCAAGAGGAGATGGAGGTTGGCAAAGAGGCCCTGATCGCAGTGCCGATTGATGGCACGACCGGCTAGCTCGTTGGCCGCTTGCTCGGTGTCCATTATATAGATCTGGGCATATTGGGCTTGCTCTCCAGGCTGTGGTCTCATAGGGCCGACCAAATGATACACTGCTCCATGGATCCGATAAGGCCGTGGTCCTCTTCCGGGCGGAGCATCCATTTGGGCCGTCATTGAAGCCATAGCTAGACCGCTATTGTAATTTCGAATGTTCGCCCGAAAATCTTTCGATTCTCGAGTATCCCCTTTGTAAAGATCTTCCAATTCCAGGGGGAAATTGTCGAACAACGAAATAGCAATTTTGCCATGGCCACAACACGAATGGAAACTGCCGCTCGGGGATTTCGTTTCGACTGCGTAATGCAATGCGCCACAGCAACTGCAAGGTATGTCCGGCTTGCCAAGATAGTGGATGGGGGGAAACGCATCCGGATTCCGAGCAGCACCTGCGCGCGCAGCGGCCGTCTGGCGTTGTTGCTGCCGGTGAGCCGCGGTCCGAATAGCATTCCCCTCCAGACGCAATACTCTTTGGGATGAGGATTCTCGGTTTCGTGAACTTCCCGTGGATATCGCATCTCGACTGAGACGCTCCGAGCGCCGCGAAGGCGATTCTCTGGAGCGCCTTGCCGCTACACGCGCGGCCCGAGCGAGATTCTGATTCTCACGTTCACTTGTGCTCAACCGAGACTCCTGCAACCTTTTAGAGTAGAGGTCCTTGGTTCGCCGTGCCGCTTGCTCAGCTGGGCTCTCATTCGCACGTAGCACCCTCACCCGGGCCGCTTCTTGCTTCTGCTTGCACCCTTGCCTTGACGCCTCGTTGGCCGCCGAAAACCGGGTCTGCAAATTCAGAGCAACTTGCGAACGCTGTTCTCTTTTCCGTAAGGCCTCGGACTTTCTCTGCGAGTTCAAACGCGAAATGGGCGTGACGTTGGCTGGGCCTTCGACGGACTGCGATGGGAGGTGCGATTGATCAGGAGTTCCCTGGGAGCTATGCAAGCGTTTCGCACGCCTTGTCGCGAGTTGGGATTCATGCTCCTCAGGGGTTCCTCCGACTCGCGGTTCCCTCTCGCCTTCCGCGTCAGACTTTCGCTTCCGTCGCTCGCGTGAACTCGGAGTCTGGTTCAACAAAACCTCAGGCACTTCGACAGGACCTTGAGCAAGTACAGGATCGGCCGGGGTCCGCTGTAAACTTTGGTCGTATTCCAACCTCAGTTGTACACGTTCCGCGCGACTAATCTTTTCCTTCCCTCTCTGTATTTGTACAGGCTCAGGTTTTAGAACAGGCGCGGGTTCTATCTGCTGTCGAGGCACCCAAAGCTTCGAAGAATCAGGGCCCAGCGTTTGCCACGGGTTCGGAACGAAAAATCCCGAGTCAGACAGCTTCTTTCCCGTATGGAGTGTACCGGTCGAGTTACTGCTGGTATTCGGCACGGAAGGCATTTTCACGATCTGCATGGGATGCCGCGGTGTTTGAGGATAGGCCGCGGGGTGTTGTCCCGGAAAACAGCTGGAGGGTGCCGCTACTCGCCCAGCCAATTGAACCTCGGTATTGCTACCTCTTCGGGTCCAATCGGCAGGCCCTCTGTTCTTCGTACCCTGCTGAGGCTCAGCTGTTTCCGACACCCTTACCGGGTCCGGCAGATTGGTAATGGTGCCAACAGGACCGACATTACGACCGTCAGGCCGAACCATCCCTTCCGGGTCTGGCTTGTCCAGCAACAGGCTAGCTGAACCCCTCGGCGTCCCAAGGGAGCGAGCGTTTGAATTTGTATGGCCATCGGAGGACGACTCCCCCTTGAGCGTAGCGGCCAAAAATTCGTCACCCATTGCTGGGGCGCTCTAGGAAGGTGGCTGTTCAGTGTTAACCTTTCGGCCAGCCACACGGCAGCGCTCGAAAACCTTGGGGGTTATCACCTGGAAGTGGGTTAGGTGGGGGGCGAGTCGGGACGGGCTGGGGACACAGAGGGGTACTCCCCAGGCGCCCCAAAAGGGCGGCCCTCTCCGAAACAAAAACGGCTCTATCGCCCCGGTAATTCAACCAAATTTAAAAATTTAAAAAGGAAAAGATTTAGCAGATTCTGCTCTATCTTTCCAGCCTCCCAATTACTCACGTCTGACCCCGAGGAGTCGGCAAAAACCAATTTTAGAGATTTGCATTTTACGCAACGAAATTACAATATTTTCAAAAACTAACTACTTGCGCATGATCCCCATCCTTGATTGCATAAACGGTCCAAATTTCAGTCCGGAATTCCATCAGGGCTTCGAGTTAGGGCCCGGACACCACGGCCGGTCCCGCGGTTTATTAAGGGCCTTTCAGAAAAATCCTTATAAAAACTTTATTTTAGAAAATTTGGCGAAATCCGAAAAAATGTATCTGGGGAATTACTTTTGCCATCTACCCTCGAAAAATGAAGCCTCAATTCCTTCTAGGGGCCGAGAAAAGTTCCGGACAACATCTGCACCCAAAAATGTTAAGGATTTTTCACATTTTTGCTTGTAAACTCGTAAAATGAAAGAATTTCGAAAAATCCAAAAAACCGTTTTTTATGAATGGCATTTCCCACCCCCATGCCAAAAATCAGCTCGATATTCGGCCTGACGGCCGAGAAAACGGCCGTACAGAAAACAGACATACTTTTCTCGCTTATAGGGTAGGATTTTAGAAAATTTGGCGAAATCCGAAAAAATGTATCTGGGGAATTACTTTTGCCATCTACCCTCGAAAAATGAAGCCTCAATTCCTTCTAGGGGCCGAGAAAAGTTCCGGACAACATCTGCACCCAAAAATGTTAAGGATTTTTCACATTTTTGCTTGTAAACTCGTAAAATGAAAGAATTTCGAAAAATCCAAAAAACCGTTTTTTATGAATGGCATTTCCCACCCCCATGCCAAAAATCAGCTCGATATTCGGCCTGACGGCCGAGAAAACGGCCGTACAGAAAACAGACATACTTTTCTCGCTTATAGGGTAGGATAACGACGTGTAAGCCGGACGACAAAATTTTCCAGAAAGCTAAAAACTATGTTATATGACGGGTCGCCATTTTGATGTCTCCGTGTTTACGGGTTGATTTTGATTTAAATGATAAGAATTAAGAATATTGAACCACTTTTAAATTCGGAAAAATATAAAAGATATGTTATACACAAAAGCCCTACTACGGAAGTCACGGTTTTTTTTATTCCACAGCACTTGGCGAAGATGGTTTATAAGAGTAAGCTTACATTTTCATGTAATTAACATGGAAGAATGTCTAGCGGCTATTTGCGGGATTTTAAAAATCACGGAAAAAAATCGTGTTTCATCCGAAAAATTATCACCAGAAGATGGTGCTCTGTTATCAGGGATTTTTAGGTATCGCAATATTAAACACAATGAATGGCAAATAATAGCCGATGAATAAAAATGTTCGCACGTATCGAAGAAAAAAAGTGTTTCATAGAAAAGCAATGTTAAGGGAAACCAGCGGTTATCAGTATCAATGATGGTTGTTCTCACCGATCCTATTCAGTGTTGGCAATCTGCCCAATAATCTCGTCACTGATCTTCAACAATCTCTTCAACTGGAGTATCGACTGGTGGCCCGGGTTCAGCTTTCTCATCTGCGGATGCTGTCAACTGTTTTCGGCTGCTGGCCAGGGGTATGTATTATTTAATAGAGTTTATATAATTTCTATGACTCTGCTATATCATTTATTGAAATTTAGGTGCTTTTGCATCATCGGGGGGGGGGAACAGTTTAGAAACGCTTGCTCGATTATTATTCCAAACCGGATTTCCCCAGCTAAAGAGACGAAACCTACTTTTTGCATAGGTCAAGAAATACCTGATCCCCCTAAGAATAACGATTTTAATAGTGTTTTTAGCGAAATTTAGGTACATCTGAAATGGGAAACGATCTAAAAACCTTTTAGTAAGCTTTAAAAAGTTAAAAACAGTCATTTTTGGTCAAAAAATTTATAGTTTTGGGATTTCAAATAGAAGATTTTGCGCAAATTATATTTTTTAAAAGTTTCTAATAGTTTTATAATAGCGTATGATGAGTTAAAAAAATGTGTTTCGTGATAACTAGGTAGTCGAAGGCTTCTTCAACTAATTCCCTAACTAAACCCGATTTTCACCGGCTAAACGGGCGAATCGCATTGTTCATAAAGGTCCAGCCTCAAATTTTGAATTGAATAAGTTATTTTAATATTCTTGATTTTATGATTATACAATCTATTTCCAGATTTATCCACCGTTTGATGAAGCCGCAGTGGAAGTTGGACAAGGAGCTGCGAGATCACCGGAAAAGGCTTGGCCTCGAGCCGGAAGGGCCCGCCGAGCGACTGGCACATCCAGGTAATCCCGCGAGATACTAATTACCGGTTCTTTGGCATTATCGGGGGACCCTTATCCAGAATTCAACGTTTCTAATAAAAATAAAGAAAGTGTTTAATTTTTTGCTATTTCTTGACGCTTAAACTCAAAAATTTTGTAAAAATTTACAAGAGTAACGATTTCTCGGCCAAAATGGCCGATTTCTTCCTAAAACTTGGCTTGTTAAAGTTTTTAAATAGCTAATAGTTTCCTGCGTTTTCGAATCCATAGAATCATCAAAAAATGTTGATTCCAATTTGGTTGCTTCGAAATTTAAAATTCGAAAAAGCGGATAGTTTCGGAATGCAAAGCACACAAAGAAATTGACGATCAGAGGCTAAAAATATAGATGCTTTCACATAAAACACCTATTTTTCAGTGGACCCCGAGGAGCGGAGCGTGTCAAATACGGCCGTCGGGTCGGATGTAAATGAGGAGCTGGCCCGGTCGCTGAATGCATAAATCAATTCTTTCGGAATTTTAGAATTTATTGTAATAACTCTCCGACCCTTCTATCCAAGTTGGATCCAACGATACAGCAGCCATCCAAGATTAATTTTTCTCGTTACTGCACCAGGCGCCGATTTTCTGAAACATAATTTTCTTCAGGGGGAGGGGCGGTTGCTTTTCCGTACCTGCTAATAATCAAATCAATTTTTATAAATTTTTTTCATAACGTTTGATTGCTAGAAAGTTACCAAAATACGTGAAACATTTTTGCAAATTCGAAAATTTGGACCTTTTTGGGCCATTTTTTACATTTTGACCCAAAAGTCAGACATTTTCGCAAATGTTTATATGTTTTAGGAGCTCCTGTGTTGCCTTAAAAAAAGTTTTTATTTTTTAGAGGACGTGAGCGGATTACGCGGAAAAAATGAGTTTCCCCATGCTAACAGCCCAGTACCGTATATTTCCCTTTCTTGTATTTTTACGTTTTTTGTTGCATTACAATATGTATGGTCATTTCGTTCTACGGCTTATCACGCGCTTGTTTTGTGATTTCCCTAAACCCTAGTCGCCACTTATCGGGGCTGACCGGATGGCCGGAAGTTTTGATAATTTTCCTTTTTGTTTTTGGCTCTTATTAGTCTGAGTTTTTGAAGCATTTTTATTTAAAATCATGATTCGTTTAACTCGAATTGTAGTCGTTTTAATTTAGCCGGCTTTTTAATTCTATTCTTCTTAAAGTTTTGATGAACTGGCCGTTTCGAAAGCCGATTTTTCACGAAAGCCGATGTTTCACGAAAATATGTAAGCTTTTAAGGTATGAAAATTGTACTGAATAGAAAGTAGAGCGACTTTGATTGTTTAGCAACACCAATTTCCTACCTTTTTCGGGTATCTTTTACTGTTTCGCTCTCTCTCTCTCTCTCACTCTTTCTCGCTCTCTCTTCCGCTCTCTCTCTCTCTCACTCTTTCTCTCTCTCTCTCTCTCTCTCTCTCTCGCTCCCTCCCTTTCGCTACCGTATCTTCCTTACCTCCAAATTACGTCAAATTCCACTTTCCCCACCGAAAATTTGTGGTTGTGTGAGAATGTGATAAATATACTTTCCAACGCGTGCTAATTTTCGCGTTACGACACCGTGAGAGCCTAAGAATTTACGAAAAATAACGGTTAAAATTGAACTCTGACAAACTCACTTTTCACAGCTTTACAAAATGCTTAACTTTGGTTGTATATTTCCTGTAAAATTTGGCAACGGACAGAGAGAGAAAGAGAGAGAGAGAGAGGGAGAGAGAGAGAAAGAGCGAGTGAGAGAGAGATGGGGAGAGAGAGAGATGGAGCGAGATGGAGAGAGATGGAGAGAGAGTGAGAGAGAGAGAGAGCGAGAGAGAGAGAGAGAGAGAGAGAGATGGCTTCCAAGATCTCGTGTACCAATTCGTTTCTTTAAATCACTTAATTACTCTCACTTGCGTCTGACGAACCGGAGAAAGGCCGGTTCAGGATGATTTGTACGTCATTCGAAAGCACGCGAAACAGCGAGAAGAGTTCTGGTTTTACAAAATTGTCATAATTGACCTCCCATAATCGTTATTTCAAACTCCTTACTGCATTCCCTTTACCAAGACCAGTGGCAAAAATCACAATGAGACCGCTTGTGAATCGGCTAAATACCAGTTGGATGAAATAATGGATTTGTGAATGAGCGATCGCCGAATTATGAGTTTAACTTAGCCGCGAACGGGCAACTTTTGAAAACATTTTTTTTTTTGTCGCCTATAAAGTAGGCCCTTGGAATGAATTGGAATGGATTGATTCTCAACCTTTTTTTTGCGATTCCCAAACGGGAAAATTGACTGATTTTTCGATTAAAAATCAACGATTACCGATTTTTCGACGCAAATGACCGATTTTCGACCAAAAAGATTTGATCCCCCGACTCAATTGGTTCATTTTTGGAGCTTTCAACCAGTAGCGGCCGATAAAATAGATAATTTTCATCTATTTCTAGATTTTTGCAACCTTTTAGGACCCGCAAAACCGTAGAGCAAGCCATTTGAACCAGGAAGCATGCGGCAGCGCTTATGCAAATTGGGTTCCTCCCCTGCTTGTTTTCCTCCCCCAAAAGTGATAAAAACCGACCAAAACACGTGTATTTGATCTTGTCACCCAAAAACGACTCTGTCTCTCTTTTTCAGCCCATTAAAGGCCCCCTGAATGGTCATTAAAAGCAGATAAGCGCGTCGTCGGCTTCCGCGTTCACCCGGTTTCAGCGCGTTGTTTTTCAATTTTTGAAGGCTTTTGTGAAAAAGGGGCTGTTTAAAATTGTATAAATGCTCCCAAAATACATACATAAATAGGAGATTTTAGTGAAAGTATGTTTCAGGAATATTAGTAGCAATTTTTCTTTAAATCTGTGCCTTACAAGGCCAATTACGCGGCGGGGAGCGCTACTAAGCGGTCTTTTAATAAATTTGAGCATCAATAATTTTGAAAATAAATACGTTGAGGTCAAAATCACATAAATACGTAATAAGAACCTGCATATAATTTGACGGTTTTTTCCTAAAAGTGTGTTTCAAGATCTTTTATTCCTACGATCCTATTCCTATTCCTATTCCAAGATCGAGAGATCGCAATAATGAGCGTAGTGAGATCGCAAATTCTTGTTCGTTAACGATCCAGCAGCAGGATCGATCCAGAATAAATTCATTCGAGAATAAAAAAAATTGTTATTTATCCATAAATTAAGCAAATTTGTTTTAGATTTTGGATCGAAATTTTATGGCCCGTATGGTAATCAGGAGCCAAGGTACCAAAAATAGGAGCGGCGGGGGACTTGGCTACACCTTTAGAGGAACCAAGTAATAGTTTTTTTTGGATAGAACGCATTTTTATTGCATTTACATGTTTCTTCTAAACGTAGAACTCCCTTAAAAAATGGCAGAAAAATGCGAGTTTTAAAACCTATTGTGGCTGCCAAGTTTTCTATAATACGTGACAGTTTTGCAAAGTTGTAAAGAAAAGCAAAAAAAAACAGCTTATTCATTTAAAATTCGCAGCATTTTTTTGTATTAACAATTTTTTATGGATTCTGGCGAAATTCCGCAAAAAACTTTGAAAAATGAAGTTTCGATGAAGTGCCAATTTGGAAGTTTTGTCGCACCTGAGTGATCTGTCGTGAAAAGTTTGGGATCAGAAAACGCCGGTCGCTTCCTTCGGTACCTACATAATTCTTCACCAAACTTGGCTCATTTGACGCTTAAAGTATGCTCAGATACCTTCGTAATCTACTAAATTTGTTGGTTTAATACTTAGCCTAACTTAAGGATTAGTATGATGCCGTTCATATTCAGTAAATTACGGAAATTAACGGTAACCCCCACGAACTAAAGTTTAGACACCCCAGTTAACCCGAATAAACTTTCTGAAAAATTGTGTTTCTGATCCTACAAACCACAAGGTGATTCGAGAGTTAGTAATTTCTTCGATTGCTGTTATACACAAAGAAGCCGGTTCAAAAATTCATGATTTTTCAAATTGTTCTCATTCTGGAAAATTAAGTTTTCCTATTCCAAATTTTAAGCGAAATTGTGTTTTAACTTTCTCTCGAAATAACGTACGACCCTTCGACCCATTCATCCCTTTTGAAAATTTCAAAAGTGATTGGCTGGTTGTATTGTGGAGGTGGGTGATTGGGTAGGGAGAGAGAGAGAGAGAGAGAGAGAGAGTGAGAGAGAGTGAGAGAGAGACGGAGGGAGACAGAGGGAGACAGGGGGAGACAGAGATAGCGAGAAACTGGTTCCCGTCCAACCGCAACGACCCGATCTCCACCTTTTCAATGCGGTCTGGCTGACCGCCGGGCGGACTGTAGTGTAGCGACCCCCGAAAAAGACGGTTTTACTGATTTATTTTCCTTTATTTTTATTCGAATTTCGTTAATTTAAGTCTTATTACAAGCGTTGATTTTTACATTAATTTTTAGAAAAGTACAAGCAGTTTTAGCTATCTTGAGAGAATTACACACATTGGCAATTTTCCGCCTCGTAAGAACCATTTTTTTCCTTGAAACATATGTTCAGATTTTCCCCTTTTGCAAAGAGATACGTATATCTAGCCGAATATGTAGAACATTCTATTTATTGTTCAAATGCAGCGTAAATGGATTGGGCTTAAGGTTCCCTAGAGAAAAAAGTATCTACCATCTAAAATCCTAAAGATCAAATAATCACGCTTTTATATTGATGGAATTAGAATTACAAAGAGCCAATTGATTAACAAAACACGAATTTACGTTTGAACGATGCGAAAAATTCGATTTTTTTGATATGTATTTTTCGCCGAAGCTTGATGCATTCGAACCTGAAGGGACTTTAATGTGACACAGATTATTTGATAAAAAATAGCATGGGGTGCAAAAGCGCAAATTTTTGTACTAAAGCTTTGTAATGAATGTGCTTTACAGGGTGGGCAAAAAAAAAAGCCCACAGTTTGCACCAAAATATCTCGCTTATCTTTGAGAATCGAAGGTACGTTACCATGCCAGAATGCTTAAATATGCTGGGTATGAAGATTTAACACAACTTGATTTTTTCGATTTTTGAGTACGAAACTGTACTATTGACGCTGGTTACGACCGAAAATTGTGCGTTCTTGAACGAGAGGTGGAAAAATTCTGATTTTTGGCCTAAAAATAGTATAAATTTGTAGAAATGTAATGGAAAAATCTTAGAATTTATCGAGGTCAATTTCATTTTTTAAAAGCAAAACAATTTTCGCGCTTCTGCGTTATTTTTGTTCTTTGAGTCATAACTCGCTTCTAACTCGCTGCCCATGGCTGATATTTTGTCAATTACCTATCCAAATTTAATCTCGGATTCCACACCAGATTCCACCACAATCTATGGTATTTTTGTATTGCTTGCTAAAACGTGCCCCATTGGGGGTACTGTAGGTTTCGTTTTCTCCGCTTTTCTCGGGGCCCTTAGCTTAGATTCGGCTGAAATTTTCTGGGTTG